AGTTTAATGGATCAGAACTAGTGATGTATAACTAGAGTTGTCCCTATATAACTACGCTATCGATATAATCGATGAATCTTTTGAATGATGAATCGATCTAAAATGAATACATAGATTATAGAATGTCTTAATTATTAACAGGGAAATTGTTTATCCACGCTGAGAATTTTTTAATACACATGATATATTTTAACGTTTTTTTTCTTAATCAAATAAAAATTCTCGAAAGGACCTTTCTTTAAAGAGACCCTCTTTTTTTCATCGTTTCAAGCTTTTAATTGATGCATACTTGATGTTTACTTCATTATAATATAATAATAAGCGTTCTCCAGTTTTACATACGATAGACTTCTTTGTGTGAAATCCTTTCGAATCTTCTATAAAAGTAGCAAGTTGGACGCATTAATAATTTGTTCTTGTAATCATGTAGGGAGTTTATATAAAATATATTTATATTAAATTCTTATCTAAAAAATCTAGACGTATATCGAAATCATTTCTATGTAATTCAGTTTAAACTAATATTATGTTATGACGCGAGACGGACGGACAGTACGAAATTGTAAGGGTTCTGCTGTGATGAATAATCCCCGTTCATCGACTCCACAACGCTTACGGTTATGGTTCTATTCCTGTACTTCCTGCCCTGGCGGAGTGCACAGTTGACGCTATTAGTAGCACAAAACGATGTTTCCGCAATTAAAATTTTCTAGCGTACTATTTTAACATATTACATAAAAATCCGGCCAAATGATAGTCGGACTCGCGCATGAAGGGTTCCGGAACCATCATACAAGATTTAATACTGTGTAGGTAAGTACAAAGTAGGTTTTTTTATAGCATTGGGTGATAAACGAGCACACAGTCTACCTGTTGGTAAGTGGATGCTGTGATTTATGGATCACAGCACCCACTTAACATTACACATTCACATTTATCCTCAATTAAGTATCAAACTACAAATGCGTTGTCACCCCTGAGGACTAAGATGGAATGCCTCGTTTCCAGTAAAAAGGGTCTCCGGTTCTCTACACTCACCATACGAAACAAAGCAGCATTGAGCTGATAGTTTACGCTGGTATTCTGTGAGAGCGTGGTGCTGCCCCAGTCGAGCCGACTCATTCGTAATACAACTATAATATAGCTGCAGCGCAAAAAATAGTAATAGTTATAGGATCCCGTTGGTAAAACCCTTCGGGCACGGAATCCTAAAAAAAGTCATCGCAATTTAATTAACTTTAAGAATGAATTTCCATCCTTAATTTCAATACGTTTTGTTTATACTTACAAAATTTTTGGATGTGTCACATGCCACTCCGTAAATCTAAACTCCAAGCGTCTTCTAAGACGTAAGATCTCGGGTAATGCGTCTACTTTGAGCTACGAATGCGCCTACAGGGATATTTTATCCATAATTAACGTCAACTGATTATAGTATCATTTGATTACGAAAATATTTTCATTTAACCGATACAAAACGTATACGGAAAAATACTTTGGAACACATTGTATCATTGCAATTCTGGCTTGCTGCCAAACAACAAATAGATTATTTTGCATCTGTGTGCATTGGTGTTAATAATTTAGCCTTTGTAAAATATATTTTCAAAGCAGCATTATTTTTAAAACCACTTTTTTTACAAAAAATAAGGTTTTTTTTTTTTTTTTTTTTAAAATTATTTTTTTTTTTAAAATTAAAAATGGGGGCGTCTTGGGTTTCCCTGTGGTTTGTTGTATCGGGGTTTTTGACCTAAGCGCGGTTGGCTTAAGGCATTACCTCCTTTTTTGTTCATTTAGTCTTATTTTTAATGTATGTATCGCGTACCATATTGTTTGGAAAAAATATTCTAGTGCAATCGCAAATTATACACTTGTGGTTCCGTACTTCGGTATAAAATGTTTAGGTTAATAGGATAAAAAGATTTACAAATACTTATTTTTAACTCTCGTAACTTACCGTACTTACTTAGTTGCGGTGTAAGAATATCCTCTACCCCATATCATACTGTGGGTGTCGAAAGAGGCTACAAACAGAAACTAATAAGGAGATGAGCAACAACGTCTTGCTAATAACGACTAAAACGTGAGACGTGGCAAATATGACAGATATCCCCTCCATAAAGCAATCTGTGGGGGAGGCCTATGTTCAACAGTGAACTTTAGTAGGCTGTTACGGTAACGGTCACTCGTATGGAACCTTAAACATCGAAACAAATCCTCATACATATACAATGACTCTTGAACGACGACGACGAGACGAGTTTGACTGCATTGCCCAAATGAAAACTCCATTTAACATCACTTGGCGCGTGTGTTTGTTTTTATCCAAAATAAAAGATCAAAGAAGGCTCTGTTGGACCATTAAACTCCCGTTTATGCGAGTGCGCATAGCCAATTCGCGTGCGTTTATAAACACAAACAAGCAAACAGTAAACTGTTTAATATTTCGTCAGTATGTTTGTCTGTTTGACAGTTGCGATTCGTTACCCTCGAAGCTGACGCGAGTTCGAGGAATGAAAGGAGCGTGTAATGCATTGTAAACACTAATTATGTTATTAAACGCGTAATGCATTGTAAACACTAATTATGTTATTAAATCCACCAAGTGAACAGTTCTACAGATGGCACTGCACATGTCAATTAAAATGTCCTGGAGCAGTCTTTGAAGTCCGTCTGGGCTCGTAACGCCTTGTTACCTATTTCTGTCGCTGAGCAGTAGTGCAACCTGCCTTGACCTCATTTGTAGTATGGACCACCGTTGATATTTAAGGGCTATGAGATAATCTAACTCAGTCTACAACCTAAACCAATACAACCCGTCTCTGAAATTATTTGGAGTTGACTGCAGGTGTCCTGGTCAATGTAACTATTACTATCAGGTAGACTTTCGTACTCTCGTATATGGGTCACATGCGGATTCATTTATTAATAATGAAAAAAATAGCACCCGAATGTAGCGTTTATTTTATTATTAAATTATAAAATGTCATCAAAATAAGACCTTAAAACAAGTTACGTATATTTCGCTAGTGGGTTACTGCTATTATTCTTAGCATAAAATATATCGTATGGCACACCGGAGATGAAGATGAATCTAATGGCACCTCAAGCTTCGAATCATCTCAGCAACAACTAAACGTACATAATTACACCTTAAAATCCGCTTCTTTTGAGGTAATTAATTAAAAACATAAAATTTTAAAACTTCAAACTTTTAGTTAGACGTTTAAAATGAAACCCAATGAGATGTGTAAAACATTCAGAATCAAAATACCTACCTTTAAAACATTGGTACATACAACGTAAACGAATGGCAAAATGAAAAATTTTGCACAACCGACTTCAAATATAATAAATAAAACGAGAACATCTTCAATGTAATCGAAGTCAATTAAATATTCATTATTAAGGATAACTCAAAACTACGGGTCAGATCTTAATCAAAATTATATCGGACCACATGAGAAGCATCAGCTTTCAAATAAAAAAAAAACCATCAAAATCGGTTCACCTAAAAAAAATTTTTAAGGAAACACACATTAAAAAAAAAAACATACAGTCGAATTGAGTACTTCCACCTTTTTTGAAGTCGATTGAAAAAACTGCGAAAAATGTAATTACTCTAAATTGGTGAGAAAACGTTATTGTCGTTATTTCCGCTTTTAGAATGAAATAGGTACTCCTATAAATTATATGTTGGGTTTGTATTACAGCTTATTACGTTATTCGATAACATATCGATAAATGACGAACAAATGGAAACATATTCATTTTTATTCCGCCCTCGCTAATACGATTCGTATTACCAGGAATCGCAAATAGAATTACGTAGCAGCTTTTACCGGGGTGTTCATTTTCTTGTCGTCATATATTACAAAAGGTTTTGTGTTCCATATTCCTTTTATTAGTAGTCGGTGGATTTGATTATAATTGCGTGCGTAGTTTTGGTTCGAATCTAAGCTAGCGGGTGATTAAATTAAGTAAGTCAACATATCTATAATACCTCATTTGAATGTAGGAAATAAGCCACGCCTAGTAACTAAAAAAAAAGAAAATAAATTCTACGCGATAGCTTCTGAAGCACTGTGTGGATAGCACAGACTTTTAAAGCTAATATATGGAAACTCGTTTATTTCTTTTAGTTCTTTGTAGTCAGCTTTTAATTTTTACGTCGAGTGATTTTCCTCTAAACACAAAATGTTTTAAATATTATGCAAAAGTCATACATAAACACTCACGGCTGTCACCCAGAGGGGTAGGCAAAGACTACAGACTTCCATTTAGCACGATCCTACATAGGTACCTTTCTCGCCTCCTCCACATCCATATACCTACGCATACATGCTCGTCGGTAAAGGGTACTCTTAATTTGACCAATTTTCAATATATCGCAAACATATAATACAAACTAAAAACTATACGATTCTGATATTATGATGTGATGTAGTGTGATGTGTAGTTATAAGTTTTAAATTAAAAATAATATTGATTGTGTTCCCTTACAACTTTATACTGGCGTATAAACGAACGACCTCATACGGTAATGCACAGATTTACTTCCAAAGCGACACAGGGTAAATCCCTGTCGCCATAATGATAACGAATGAACCGTAATTACAATTACCTAATAACATCAGAGCTTCTCATCCATTATGAACGCCAAACGAATACAGCCCCGCAATATTCACAATAGACACAGCTACCAATTTCGAGAATACACAACTCGGTTTCATTTCACTTCGAGCTCATCTAAATTTTGAAATAGCCAACACAAAGTTTAATTTCGTTTGGCAATGCGTATAGAAAAATAACAGTGAGATTAAAATTACTATAAAAAGGCATTAAATATATAGCTCAAGTCACGAGGAAACTTAAAGACATTTATATCTGAATTCACTGTCTACGTGCAAACTCGTATAACTTTTTTACAATTATTTAATCCGTAAGTTGACACTACCTTGGTATATTGTTTAATAAAACTTTATCTTTTTGCCCCTCAGGTCTTAGCGGTACGAAAGCAGACCAGCAGCACAGGCGGGAGGTATTCGGTTCGAATTTAATCCCACCGAAGCCCCCCAAGACCTTCCTAACTTTAGTATGGGAAGCTTTGCAGGATGTCACCCTCATTATTCTGGAGGTAGCAGCTGTCGTCTCGCTAGGATTGAGTTTTTACAAGCCGTCCGAAGATGAGAGCGATATTGGTAAGTCTAAATATACAAATTAACGTTATTTACGTAAGTATCCCATAAAAAATGTTAAATATGACCATACCCAGCTTTATGATAAGCGGGACAAGCTAAAAGATTCGAGCTTCATAGCATAACAGTTGCTCGAACTTCGAAATCATCAAACGAAATACCACAGAATTACGGCAAAACTATTTACTTTACTATTTACCCGACTTATAACTGAATTATCGAGCTTCTTCACAATTATATAGAGAAAAACAAGTTTATAGCGAACCTAACACGATTTAATGTATAATTACTAATTTTGCTTTTCTTTTTTCAATAACAAATTGGAAACGGTAGACGATATTGGTAAGAATGTCTTAATTTGCTTGGAGATTTTAACACTATCCTTGCTCTTCCTGTAACTATGTAATTGGATTATCAATATCTATTCTATTAATATTTTCCAAATTATATTTTCTATGTATGTAATTAAATGTATAATAAAGTGTCTATCTGTCGTAAATTATATTTCCCTGTTTTATCTGTGTATATTTAATTTCGGCCATGATTTTTCGATATCAAAGGTGAAATTTCATAAGATCACTTTTTTGATAAAACATCCAATCGCAAATAAACAATGTAATAACATCTTATGGTAGCTTGCCCTAAAACCCTCTCAGAAATGAACGGAAACTGTGCACGGCCTGTGCACAGGAGTAGAACGTATATAGGCTGTAACTTTACTTTTAATAATATGTAACACTTAGTGTAATTTTTATTTTTTTTAGTTTTGCACATAAACGTGAAAGAATACTGTGATTTCTGTCAAAACATTGCTCTTTAGTAACTTTTAGGCCATTCCTGGTGGATTTTCTGATACAGCATTAGGGAATAGAAAACGAAGTGCTTACTTACTAATTATTTTATTTTCTGTGAAAATTTTAGAACATAAGCCCTTCTAAAATATTGCACTGAAATACAATAGGGTCAGTTGCACTTGTTTCACTCTCATTGTTTAGGTTTTTTTGTTTAAATAGATAACGTAAGCGTAAATGATATTCGAAGAACATACGTTCCTTATTCATTAACATAAATGTTCATCAAAAGCTCACTGTTATATGTGCCACACCTCACCAGGACTTTACGACACGTTACCGTCGCAATTAACTGCTGAAGTATGCCCAACATTTTATAAGTTTATTTGCATGAAATTAGCGAACTGAGCTCGAAGAATCATGGCCCTGGGGTATGTTATTGATCTAGTTGCTTATCTTCCTGAGTACCGATTACTTGACAGTAGATGCACCCCGACTTTCTGTGTCCCTTGTTCTTCCAATGTTTGTGTGCTTTCGTGATGTATTGCTAGACAGAAAAATAGGATAGCGGTGGTGTTTGTCAGCCTGTGTGTCGTGTTTTAGATATAATATATTTAGAATTAAAATAATATAATTAATATTTTTAAATAAGCTTTATAAATGACATTAAATCAACAAACGCGTAAAATTTAAGCAGCTCACAATACTATAAAATTTTTCGTAAAATTTTAATAGCCGATTGATTTTTAAAACTTTTCCCTAACCTACCTAATTCGTTAATATTTGAGCCATAATCACAAGATAACGATACAAGTTGATGTGCAACTTACATATTATTGGCATTAAATCCTATAACACCCTCGTTACCGTATCGGGGTCACATCGACCCAACAGCATAATATCATAATTGAATAACGGTCCATCCTCTCTCTCGCACCTCATACCTGTAACAAGGACAAATGACAACCCTTAGCCATTATCATTATCATAATCTAAGTGAGCATTGGCGATAGCTAACGTAATTTAGGTATTGGAAATTGCATTACTATAGCCATTAAGAAGGCAATAATGACTGACAACGTAACACGTGCTAGATTCGATATGTGATACCTCTCAGGTTTTAATGCTTCCTATTAATCAATTTAATGCACTCTGCAATTGCAACACAACAAAATTCCACAATTTGGTTAGATGATAAATAAATACACATTAAAGAAAATTTTAATTTTAATAAGACATTTAAATAATATCGCGTTTATATTATACAATTTAATTAAAATAGAAAACAACTAAAAATATCCTCTATATAAGATTCAAAACTCTATATAATAAAGTAAAAATTATAAAGATATTATAAAAAATATCAATGCATTAAAATGTATTAAAATGTGTTATTCAATAATAAATAATAAATTATTAAGTTATATCATTGCTTCATTATATTGTGTAGTATTTTATGTACCTGTATAAATATTTATAAATGTTGGATTTTTCGTGACTTGTTTTGAAATATTTTATAAGTAAAATATATTTTATACTATTATAAATATATATTATCCATAGATTTACTCATATAATGTTTAGTTTTTTATATACATTTAGATATTTTACTATTACCAACATTTCTATTCGAATTTCGGATGATATGATCACACAGGATTTGACTGGTCGAACCTATGTACCTTTAGTTTTAAGGTATTACATTTAAGTTTTAAATTAATAACAAAAAAATTCTACGGCATAGTCCTATGTACCATACTTTTTATGAAATTATATAATTATTGGCAGTAAGTTTATTAATGCCTAATAAATAATACAAAATATAGAAGTGCATCCTCGTGTCCAGATAACATTTCTTTATAATATTAAAACATTTTTTTTGTAATTTTTTAAATCTATTTGTAATATATATTGTGTAATTTTCCAATAGTTTTAAGTTTATCTTATCAATTAATATATGTTTATCACATATGTAAAATTAGAAGCCCATTGATTCGTTCACGTGTAAATAACAAATGTTTAGACTTTGTGTTTGGATTTCAACATGATATCTGCTAATTTCAGGTCACTTGGACGAGGAGGAGGGTCACTACCAATGGATCGAAGGTCTGGCGATCTTAATATCCGTCATAGTTGTTGTTATAGTCACAGCGTTCAACGATTACACGAAAGAGAGACAGTTCAGGTGGGTGCTTCAACTTAATGAAATGTATATTTTTTCATTTACTGCAGCCTATTAAAAGTACGAGTATACTGCCGAAATGAGCCTTCCTTTTGTTTTCCTCGTCGCGGAATAATTTCCATAGTAGCCACGCACGGCGGGCGTATCAGAGCTACGATAATTTCCGGCTATTATTATAATTTTCTCGTTTTAAAAATTTCCAAAGGAACGAAAGAAATATAATTCAGGAAATGGTCAATCTAACACACACATCTAAATTTTATTCAAATACGTTTAGCCGTTTATTGGTGATTGAGCATGAAAAAAGGCTTATCCAGTGAATTATCTAGTATAGTAAAATATAACTTGTGTTAGTACATTCCATTATTCTATAGCTCTTACTTTACTATTTGCACATCAAAAGTCCACTGCTGAATGTAAGCCTCCCCCATAAATTGCTTTATAAGGGGCATTGGCAAAATGCCATAGTTGCCTCGCTTAGCAGGTGAACCAGCAACCACAGTTTTTTTTATTATTATTTTGAGTTGATATCAAAAAGCTAACGTTGCCCCTCTCCATTTTCAGATTTCCTCATTTTTTAATTGAAAACTTCTTTAGGATCGTTGTGTAAAAAGAGACAAACATATACGTCTGTAGGATTTAGTCTGAGAGAGAATGAGATAGAAATATTAAATTAATCGTGTTTAGGCCATCTACCGTCGATTTCACGTACCACTGCCACCTTGACGGTTAATCAATTTTTGTCCGATAGAATGACTTGACCTATAAAATGAAGTAGATGGCGATATCAAACTTCACCCATAAAATGAATAAAGTAGACATCGGCGGTATCACAATTTTACTCGAAAGAAAATATTCTTTTGATTTATTAGATTATGGTTTAGGCTATACGTGTGTAAAATTATGATTATAACATTTATTTGCTACAAAATTAAAATTTTATCTTATATTTGATGCAGCACTTGGGGTTGAAAATTATCATAAATCATTTGACATATTTTTTTAAATTTTAGCGGTTTAGGTGATAAATATTTTTTCTTAATAACGCTGTAAGTCGCAGGTTCTACATAAAACTGTTTTTAGCTAAAACGGTTCTAGCATATATAGTCAGCATTTTTCATTCTTATTTATAACTCACAATCAAACTTTACATCTTATGTAGTCTTAGAATCTGTTGTTTATAGTTTAGAGGTTTTCTGTTGGAAATCTATTTCATTTAAACTTTAAACTTTAAAAACGCATAACTTTCTACAAAAGACTCTGTGCCCTCCTAACTTCTAGAAACCAAGTTGTAGAGCTCCATCCCATGCAGGAATACAATATACCAAGTTTGAGCCAAAGAAATCGATATTTTATTTGAAGTAGTCAGTATCTACTGCTAGTAGATGTACGTAGTAAATGTGTCTCAAGTTAGCCGTCAACTAAGTTATTACTCGACTAACTGATTAAAGTTAAAGTTACAGCCTATATACGTCCCACGGCTGAGCACAGCCCTCCTCTCATTTCTGAGAGGTTTTTAGGCCAAGGAAATGTGAGTCGCGTTACCTCACTGCTTGTTGGTGAACATCACATGTCTTCGAAATATTTTATTTTATTTCTCAGACCTGCAGGTTTCCTTACGATGATTTCGTTCACGTGTTAAATCAGCACTTAATAATTATATAATACTAGCTCGCCAGGCAGACGTTGTTTTGCACTTTTCGACGACCCTTTGTCATGTCCTAAAAAGCCTTAATTTTCCGAAAAAAATTGTGGGTCACTCAATTTTTTTTTGTTTGGAAAATTATTTATTATTAATTATTATATTGGTGGGCAAAAAAGGTCGGGTTAAGTAGTGTAGGAGTATATCACGGGCAAACAACGTGACACGTAATTTACCATATTTATATATATATATATATATATATATATAAATTGATTTAGTGTGAAAAAAGTGAAATTGTTGAAGTATTTTATTCATACAAGTGTAATTTTTAATTTGTTTATGTTGTGATATATCCTATCAATCGAAAAAAATCTGATGATTGAATGGCATTTAGTGTTTTTAATGCTCGTGTTAGTTTCTTAAGTCTGTCCGTGCATGCCACGATAAATGTTGGTCAACTATGACTTCTAGATACTTAGCCTCATAAACCTTACTATTTAATGTACAGCTGCGATGACTAGTTATGGGAATGTCGCTTGGAGTGGAGCTTAATACATCAATTAATGTTAGACTTTAGAGACTTAGATTACTACTGTCCTATATAATCCTAATCTAATAAATAAATAACTCTGAGGGTATGTATAAAGGTATGGATCACTTCAAGGCACAGAAACAGTACCCAATTTCAGCAAAGGAAGGTATAACATCGTTGTGAAAAATACTCGTTGTTTTTGTCCTGAAAAATACTCATTTGTAATTTTAACAAATTCCATCGATACGTTATTTCATCCTGTACACTACTAGGTTTAACCATATACTACTACTGTATACTTCTTGAGGGTCAGTTTCTAATAATACAAATGACGTGGGCAGTGAAGTCGTTAGGTTATCAATAATAGTGGACGCTTGCCAGGTAGCGCTCGACTTAATAGTATCTGCTAAGGTTATAAATATTCGCGAAAAAATTATAAACAAGTCGGCAGGGGCAGATTATAAATTTATTTATTTTTTAACACTAACAATTGTATAATTTTTAACAAACTTTATAACAAACATCCCAACATTTTAGCAAATGTTGATATTAGTAATGATGTCGACGCCAGATAGTCGACAGTCGACCCTATTGCAGTAATATAAGGCGCTTAATATTATGCTTAATATATAGAGTCATATATTAATGTACATTCATTCAATCACACTACATAAATACCACGTCGTTCCCCACACCCGACACTCATATTCGCTCTCACTCTCACATTCCCATTCTAACCTCCAAACAAACAAGACACAAGCACAATACCGAGTAAATTCAGTGGAATAAATCTTTGTGAAGATCTACGATTTCTTTCTTTTGTTCATCGCGAACAAAAATTATGAATTTACCGTCCCATATGACTATGAGGGTAAGGCAATAGAGAGTGCACTTGTGCTTGAGCTTACACTTGGGTACTATAATCCTGTCCTGCGCCGATGACTAGTCTCCGTTGAGGCAGGCCGCCTTGACTGAAATTCGGTCTGAAAGGGTCTGAAAGTCATTATTAATATGAAAAATCAATCCTTTTTCTTTTAAATCCAGATCTTATTAAATCAATTTTCCCATTTTTATATTTCGCAACTTTAATCTTAAATTGTTTACTGTTAGTATGAATAAAAACCAAAGTTTTTTTTAGTTTGTGTGACAGAATAACTAGAACGTTATACTGGTATAGGTCATTGTTTCATTCTAACGTTTTATATAGTATAGGGTTAACTGAACTGTCCATGCAAACAACATTTGTACATCATCATGATTTTTCCCCATTACATAATTTCCTATGATACAAAGCACAGCCCAGATCCACTAGTATTTTTATAGGATAGGGTGCAAAACGAGCACACAGTCCACCTGATGTAAGTGGTTGCTGCGGCCCATAGACATCTACATATATCCTCGATTGTGAATCAAAATGCAGATGCGTTGTCACCCGTGAGGACTAAGATGGAATGCCTCTTTTCCAGTAAAAAGGTGTCCGGTTTTCTAAACTCAACATACGAAACTCAGCAGCATTAAGCTACTAAATTACGCAGGTATTCTGTGAGAGCGTGGTCCTTCCCCGGTCGAGCCGACACATACAACTATACTACTAATATAACTGCAGCATGGCAGTACTACTTAAAAAATTTAAAGTTTATCATTCCATTTAGTGATAGTCAGCCGATGCACTTGTACCATGCCATACAAATGACATAAAATGTACATATTCCAATCTGTTGAAAACTGTTGTTAAATTCCAGAGGGCTTCAATCGAGGATAGAAGGCGAGCACAAGTTCGCGGTGATCCGCGGCGGTGAGGTTAATCAAGTGCCTATCAGCGAGATCGTCGTCGGGGACATCTGCCAGATAAAATATGGCGACTTGCTTCCTGCTGATGGTATCCTGCTGCAGAGTAACGACCTCAAGGTACGCAATAATAGTTACAGGACCTTTTTCGACCAAGACGACACTCCATCACCATAAGTATTGCCAAGATAAGATTTTCAGATTCCATATTACATTATGCCCTTGGTTTTAATTCCGCCATTAGTCTGCCTTTGTGAACCACTCCTAACACAAACATTAAAAGCTTGGTTGAAGTGATTAAGGAGGGAATTTATAATAAAAATCCCGTGTCACGATGTTCGTTCACGTTAATCTCCGAAACCGCTCAACCGATCTTAATGAAATTTTGTAAATGCATATGGTTTACTCCAACTTAAGAGATAGCATAGTTATATTATTATGCCGATAAGTGACTCTCAATATTTTATTGCGAGTTTAAGAATTTTTTATACGACAAAGGGTCGTCGGAAGGGGCAGAACGTCTGCCTAGCTAGCAAGTAGCATTATAAAATAATTTTAATAAAAAATGTAAACTTGTTAATGGAGACTATGCAAAAATAAGTGATATTCATACTGTCAATATTAGGAACAGACACTAGCTAGTATTACCTGTTACGAGTAACATATAGTGGGATTCCACCCTCCACCGATTCAGTAATTCATTCTTCGGGCGATGATGATATACGCTTTTACAACAAACCCCAAAAAAAATATACAAAATTTGACGTACACAATGTTTAAAAAACTTTTACTAAGTTTGTATAAAAAGGGTTATTATAATATTAAGGGATTTATGAATGATAATAACCCCTGGGAAGGGCAATCGCTACCAAGCTATTTCTAATTTGTTTTGTGTTGTTAATTGTAACACGCATAATGATTTTCTTATATTTACGCGAACACTACACATTGAAATAATACTAGTTTTTACGGAATTTATCGCGTATATTTAACTTTTTAATTACCCGACGTTTCGAACGCTTTACAGCACTCATGGTCACGGGCAGGACTGAGATGTTCAACGTCCATATGTCATAGTTAACCGCGGTTACCATAGATTAAAATTTAACTTTTGTTCCGATCTATGCAGTATGAACTTATGGTATCTTGAAGTCTTGCAGTTGTATGCTTGGGTTGGGATTTAATTTTATTTATTATGGGATCCTAAGCAGATGGTAGCACCCAGCCATCTTCTCTATTGAAATTAGGATGTTTTTTGATTTCAATAGCCTCGCGAATCATACTTTGTAGGAAATTGAGTGAATGCCCATAAAGTATGACATTGACAGGTACTGTCTGTACTACTAAGAAATTCAGGACTTCATAGGCGTGATTTTTACTGACAGCTATCGCAGAGATCAAGCTATCTTTTATGAACCATACACTATTTATCCTCTTTTTATTACAGTTAATATAGTTTTGATTTTTATTTTTTGCCAGAAAAGTACAGAGATTTTGCATTATGGTCCATTTCGTAATCATCCATTCTAGGCATATCTCACTTCTACTGACAAACACCAACGCTTCAAATCGATACACAGTTGACTGTACTGCCCTAGTGGAAAGTAAATATAATAAAGTTAACCTTATTTCCCGATGGTTTTTGATTTAAATTGCCATGCATCGTATTAGTCGCTTACAACGTTTAATAAACAACACTATTGTGCTCATCCCGTAAGTTTTTATACTGGCTAGAAGTTGTTGCAATTTTTATTAGCATTCACTGATCTTAGTCCTCTGACACTCATCTGTAATCTTCTTCGTTTGAAGTAATTCGTAGGTATTCATGAGCTGCAGTGAATAGTTCGCTCGCCAACCAACTTACGTTGATTATCGCTTGCTTAAGTATGAATTATCTCTATACCTGTCTGTTTTTACTGTTGTTTATTGAAAAGAGAAAGAGCAACCTTAGGCATTCCTTAAATATCTATCGAAATCTCATATTGTTTTGAAAAAAAAAACTGTCATGTGACAACCTCCGGGACTGCTACCGCAAAAACGATTTGCATCGCATCCACTCGACGCGACTACGCTGTGTACATACAGAACTGTGGCTGGATATTGTTGATAAGCCGACAAGTAGTCAACGCTATCTTCCGATTATCGCCCCATTTCTCTGACGCACGCTGTCGCCGTAAAAATCTGATAATGGGCAAATATAGAAAATAATTGCAACCTGCTCGCGATAAACATGGGCGCGTCGCGATAATTGCACATAACCAATAGTCCCACTGTATGCGGACAGTCGCTAACATAATATGCACGACAACGTCATTTCGTTTAATCTAATAACGTTCTTTCATTCATTACAATCACTAATAATAATAATAATAATAATAATGTCCTCCAGACCGAATTTCGGCCACGGCGGCCTGCCTCACCGGAGGCTAGCCATACACTATCACAATCATATACAATCACTAGTCCATTGCTGAACGTAGGAGGCCTCCCACATAATTTGCCTGATGACAGGCAAATTTACTATAGTCGGTATTTTTTGTACTTTCTGAGTTTTATCAATATATGCTGCTTCCCATCTCCGGTTGCACTTTTTCTCTGACGCCTCTTTCGACGCTATTGAAACAATATGGGAAAGTGGATATTCTTAAGCGTCCACTACACGGTTCCTTTCCTCATTTTTTATACTTTTCCATAAGGCCGAAAAATATCTGAGGATCAGAGTCTGGAGAGAAAGAATTAGAGGATACCTAACGCTTACTGGAATTGATTTATAACTCCGCTTTTAGAAGTTTTTGTATAAGTTTGAGATCTCAGTAAGTTCTAATTTCGTATATGTCCACATTTGAGGCCCCTAGGTCTCTGTTTCTATTGTAGGATATCTGTGTGCGTGCATTCGTATATTAGTGAACCTTTTTAGTCTCATATATCTTTAACCCAAGTTACTCCAAACACTTTTTAATGTACCTATGTTATACGTTATGTACCCGGTCTAGTCGACTCATTTGTGCTACAACCGTAATATATCTGCAGCGTTTCACATGACCACACAATTACCTGTATAAATTTCTTCAATAAAAAAACGACATAAAAAAGGTATAGATATCGCACCTTAACTCGTATAAAAGTTTTAATTACACACTATTTCAATTCTAAAAAGCTTTAACTGATATTACAAAATCCTAAAAAACTGTTAACAACAGTAATCACAAACATTACATCAAATAAACCACTTATCAGCAGCTCAAGATTGAGCAACTACACCTTGCACTATCATTTACGTCATTGCAGCCCGAGGGATATGATAAAGCAGACGTACGCAAATAAAGATAATAGGTAGTAGATTTTTTGATAAACAAACAAGTTTTACAGAATACGTATTGTTATCTCAAGATTTTTAGTTTAACGTAGGTAAATGAGAATGTAATTAACTATATTTCGTATAAATATATTTTTTTCGAAAGTAAATTTATAATTTTCGCTTAAATATGTGCTGTTTTTATTAAATATTTAAAGTATGTAAAATATGTACATGTACCCTGGCCTTCATATTTTATTGTCTGTTTATAATTTGAGGTTATTATAAAATTGTCAAACTGTTTCTAAAATTATATTTATAATTATTAATTGTAAAAATAGAAGTACCTACTCCTGGGTTTTCTTGACAAATGACTATCAATACGTGATATTGAAGTAGTATCTATATTGAATATTATTTTTTTATTCTTATTTTTTCGGTAGGTAGCGCTATGAGTTCCACTGCGAATTTACTCTGGACGTTTTACAGTGTGAACACAAAATTAACCGTCACACCGATAATTTCTTAACGTATAATTACACGTAACAGGTCCGCTTCTTTTTGAGAGGACGATAATTAAGTGAACGTTAAGGGGATATAGTAAGTCGGCTCAAATTCTAATTTCGCCCCCACTTCCCCCGCGCGTCGTATGATATGTACCGACATGTTTGTAATCACTAATACTGTAAGTAGAAAGGTCGTTAGACACTTATTCCATTAGGTTTATCATATTTATGCCTGTTTCTTTAAAAAAAAAGTAAATAAATACAGCATCACACAACGTCTGGCATTTCCTTGCCCTGAAACCCTCTCAAGAATGAGACAAGACTTGTACCCAGCAGTGGGATGTATATCATAAGCTGTTACTTTACTTTACCATAGCATGAGTTTGACAATACTTACGATAGCTGCAGATAACTTTAATAGTATGCCTCAAAAGTTTAAATTCATTTTGTCTATTGTCATTTAACTGATTCTATAATAAATTACGTTTTACTTTAAGTGGTGGAGCCACTCTGCAGCTGTATTAAGATTGTAGCACGAATGGGTCGCCTCGACAGGTGTATGATCGCGCTCTCATAGAATACCAACGTAAAATAGCAGCAGAATGGCTCTTCTTCCATTTAAAGTATTAAAAAATTTGAGGAATCCTATGCTATGTTTCGTGGTCAGTGTCAGTGTAGAGAACCCGTGACCCTTTTTACTGGATACGAGGCATTTCATCTTTCCTCAGCGATCACAACACATCTGTATTTTTAATCTTAATCCAGAATAGATGTAGATGTCTATGGGCCACAGCATGCACCTACGAACGGATGGACAGGTTTATTCTTTAAAAAAAATAACTTTGTATAATAACGTGTAATAAGTAAAAAAACTTTTTTCTAAGTTTATTTACTTATTACAGGCTACTGTTGTGATTAGACCGATTGTGATCATATTTTGAGAATACATTTGTTTTGTCGAGACATAACAGGTTCGTTCATAGGTATGATAGGAACCGATATGTAGTTACTATCAAATTCTATATTTATGCGTCTTAATGACCATTATCAACATTCATGGACCGAAAATTCACAATTGTAACAAAAAGCCTAAATTTGCTTAAAAAACTAAGCAAGAGAGTTTTTACTCCCGTCGTTTCTGAACATAATAAAATTCGTCACAATGATATCTATTCTCTACATAGTATAAAACGAAGTTGCTTCCCGCCGTCTGTACAATTAGATGTTTTAAACTACGCAACGGATTTTGTTGCGGTTTTCATCTATACACAGAATGCTTCAAGAGGAAGGTTTATACGTTAATACATGCATATGTTGTCAAGATCCAAAGATCACCAGAGCAAATCCAGGCGGCTCGCTTGTCCGCAATAAAATTAAAATCAATCTAAGCCACATAGCTTATCGAATCGGTACGCTAATGAGCGATGACCCTACTGTGTAGTAGCTCGTAAAACTAAAAATCTTCGGGTTCCTTCCCGACAGTTTACAAGGACCTTTTAAAAGGAGTGACTACCTATGAGACATGCAAGAAGTCGATAAATTTCGGTACACCAGGACATTGTTGTACTTTATCTATCCTTTGTATTGTGGAAACCTTAAAGCAACTAAACGCTTGTAATTGTCTACTCCTAAAACCCTACCCAGCGATTTAAAATGATACGAACTGGCAACAACACATTTAGAACTTTTTACTTTTGCGACAAAATGAGGGTAGTGAATTGAGAAATGTCAATCAATTTTGCATAATATATCTCTTAATACCTTAAAATGTTAAACTACTAATATAGGTAGTGGTCGCGGAGTGTGTCTTTTGCATTTACACTTGTTTATTTTGAATATAATATGCTATACAGGTTTAAGTTCGTTGCTTGTCTTGCTTTTGATGCATTCTTGAGCGATTCCCTTTAAATAGGATTTATATTATGTGTGATTGATTAGATTCGTGTTGTTTACAGATCGATGAATCGTCGCTCACTGGTGAATCGGACCATGTCAAGAAGGGTGAATCTTTTGATCCCATGGTGCTATCTGGTACTCATGTTATGGAAGGTATATGATTATTTGTTTACATTTGATTATATTCAATAATTAACGTCGAACAAATTAAAAATAAACTTTTTTTTTAATTTATCACGGTCATTTGTCATCCGACCAGACTTAAAAACCAAGTTTTCTCTTACAATCATACTTAACAGTCTAAACTTAGCTTCATCAGAAAGTGTTTGGATAATTGTCTTTGTCACAGTAGCGTGAGTTCGAACCTGGTGACAGTCCGCAGCTTAATAATAATATACTAATAAATACTGTTAAAACTACAATTTTAAATGTGTGGGAAATGTTGGGAATAAACCTACATAACGGAAAAATGAAATATATTTTGAAGACAAGAGTAGTCTGCTGACTATCAATATTTAGAAAGTCGATTAGAAATTGTTCTGTTTCTTCTTTTTCGCCTTTGAGGGAGAATTTGTTACAATAATCACGATTAACAGACAGATTGGTGAGCGTATTATCACACGTCTAGCAACGTTCACAGCTTCTCGGCGCATGTCTGGATATTGTAAGTCTGCTTAAGACGAGTTGATAAATCAGCCATTTATCGGAGGGCAACGATCTTTGTAGCATTTCTACCTTTAACAACGCCCACGCGATGAAATAAGGTAATAATACTGATACTGAAACGTCGCCGCAGTATACGTTCCATTACTTTCTTAATAACAAAGGACTTTATTAATAAAGGCAAAGCTGTGAAATTTTAGGTATATATCTCTACTAGAACCTTATTTCATCTTCCAGGTTCGGGGAAGATGCTAGTAACAGCTGTGGGTGTGAACTCACAAGCCGGTATCATCTTCACGCTTCTCGGTGCCGCCGTGGACAAACAAGAGAAAGAGATCAAGCAGATAAAGAAAGGTCAGTGCCAACCCGCTTTGTTCAGCTTCCATAGCACTAGTGATGTCCCCTTTAGTTCCTTCGATACCCTTTCTGTAAATTCGAACTTGAGAACCTTTAGTTCTTGAAACAATTATTAATTTTGTTTTTTAGATTTCTGTTAATATGCATGGGTATGAGCCTGTCATTTTTTTATTATTTTCAATAATGTAATGTTTTTACCATAAAGTTACAGATTATAAGATTGTATAAAAACTGTTTGCTACCTCTGTCAAAGTGGCCGAATATTCATTGAGACATTTCAATATGGAACGGGTATCCTAATAGTTGAAACTTGCAAACTCTAGTTTAGTGATGTTTAAAGAATTACTTTGCTCATTAAGATGCCTCCATAAACACAAATGTTACCGTAAAACAAAAACAAAAAAAGAATTAAACAAAAAATTGTCCATGTAATTGTGTACACAAGTAAGAATTTAAACTTTTTTACGACATATCGTTCTTCTTTTATTTTATTACTTATACAACCTCGGCGGTGAAACTTTACAAGAAAACGTGACTTTTTTAATACCGTACTAAATTTCCCCTTTTCGTCAATAAAGAATGTTCACTAGGAAAAAATAAATAGTGTCGTACCTTATGTTGTAATAAAACTTAATACGCTAGTCTTAATGAGCAATGTACTGTCCAATGCTTAGTTGCATAATTAGTGTTACCACCAATAAAGAATGGAATTTATCCCTTACCATTAAGCTACCGCACTCCTTTTAGGGAACCTAATATAACGGTGAAATTGGTAGAAAACTAACCTTATTCATTTAAGTTTAAATTCATTTCAGCATTAAAATTATTTTGTTGCTTCATCGATTCTACCAGTTTTAACCTTCATAATGAGATTATTTTATTGTACGGCAAGGTTTACGGGTATTAGTGATACATGTTGGACGTTGTTCGTATTGTTTTTGTGTTTGACTAATCGCCTGGAATATGTCTTGTGGATAGCATGGTGTCAGTCATTTCGTCATAGCCATTGGCGTATCTAAGACAGGTTCCTCTTCCCCCAATTATTTTCCTTAAAAAGTGCGATCTAAGGTAACTAATTAAAAAATTATACAATTGAAGACCACGGTGGAAAAATGATTAGAAGCCACCCATCATTATTTTTTAGAAAATTTAAATAAAGTAATATTTGCAAGCGAAAAACAATTTCCCGTCACTTTGATCGTTGTACGCAGTATATTCAGCCTAAGATTAATAACATTGTTTTTTTAACGGATGAATTCTTGGTAATTTTTGCTGTTTTTGTCTTTGTAGCGTATAAAAACTAACATGGATTAGAGAATAGTTTGACATAATTACCCTTAATGTATAAAAAGTGAACTTTAATCAACATTCCCGTGTGGTATTTATATATAATTTAATAGAAAACACTCAATTTTTCAACTAACAAAATATATATATGTAAGAAAAAATTAACAGATTGGCTTATAAAATTAGATTACGAAGAAACAAAGAATTTACTGTAAAAGCGTAATAGTGAGATAGAAACACACACAAACACACACAAACACACACACACACACACACACACACACACACACACACACACACACACACACACACACACACACACACACACACACACACACACACACACACACACACACACACACACACACACACACACACACACACACACACACACACACACACACACACACACACACACACATCCAACACACACAAACACACACATGCACACACCAACACACACAAACACACACACATGCACACACAAACACACACAAACACACACATGCACACACAAACACACACAAACACACACATAACACACACATGCATACACAAACACACACAAACACACACATGCACACACAAACACACACAAACAAACACAACACACACATGCACACACAAACACACACAAACACGCACAAACACACACATGCACACACAAACACACAAATGCACACACAAACACACACAAACACACACATGCACACACAAACACACACACACACACAAACACACACATGCACACACAAACACACACAAAAACACACACATGCACACACAAACACACACACACACACACATGTATATATAAATATACACAATATATATATATATATATATATATATATATATATATATATAGATTATATACTTTTATAATTATTATTTAAAACATATTGCATGTCATATTTATTCTATGTGACTTCTATTGTAAATTACACTTTGGAAATCTCATATTCGATCTCCACATGCAACGCTCACTTCATGTCTAAGTACATTATCATCGAAAAGTATGTAATAAAGCCCAGAGGGGGAGCCAGGAGACCCATAGCACAGGGTAACCTAGTTTGGGCTCCTGTCTCCCACAGCTACTCAAAACTCTTAAACTATTTATGAAACAAATGTAACTATGTCAAAAGTGGGAGAAATAAATATTTATTATTGTTTATTATTATTATAATTAACATATAAACTCTACCATCCAGGAACAATTCAGAAAAGCAATAAAGAAATTAGAGAGATACAAAGTTCTTCCTAAAAGTTATTTATCGGTCGGGTTGAACGGCTGACTCTTAACCCCCACCTCCTCCCAGTAACATATGCTAGCTACGTCAATGGTCAGAACAGCCGTGTAGTTGATGATATATGTTAGCATTAGTGTGTTATAAAACACCTGTGTCCAGGTAAAATAATCTCGTCACTATATACTTGGAACAGTTGAAAGTTTGCCCTTAAAGCATTTGTTAATGCAACAATTAGTGGAGCGCTCGAGCACCTGTGGCCAAATTAAACGTACTAGTATTTTTAATAATAAATAATTTATTGCTCCCTAACCACAAACATGTGAATCTCATTTTCAAACAAATTCGAACGATTTTATTATATTTCTAGTAGTATGCTAGTCGTGTACTGGAAGTATTTGTTTTATATTACAATAATGTCATACTGCTCGATCGCTGCCAGAAACCCTATAGAGTTAGCGCCACAACCAAACGTCTAGTGTGAATCCATTCAATGACATCCAACTTTTTTTTTCTCCACCCCTGACCCTGGCCTGCCCTGCCGCACACCCACATCCATGCCGCCGATGAAAAATTAAATAAAAACTATTTAAAAAAAAACATACACATTTAAACTGCATCGTGTAACTGTCGTTGTCAATGATGCATGATGTATGAACCGAAAACAACCGATACCCGTTGTTATAAATGTGTATGGCTTGTGTTACTGGAATTATAAAAACACACGGATCACGGAAACATTGGCACAAGAAGCTAAAAAGCAGCAACGAAAGGGAACCCAACGCAAGAGCCTCACCGGTAAGTAACATCCTTTGCTACACCCCGCTTCTATAGGTCCTATGTACACTCAGGGCCAGATATATGTATAACGCTTTAATATATCGAATTTCGACGCTGTCGCTTATGATAAAAGCTTTAAAGCTTTAATGTGATTAACTTGTTCTGTCCTTAAGTGTACTAATCTAACTCATTATGATTTGAATTGCATTAAAAATTATTGGATCATGAAATGTCATACAATTAGTCAAACATTAGACCTTGAACTCAGTCACTTGTAATATTGCTGCCTAATACAATAGTTTGTATTATACTTAATATTTTAGCGTTAAAAATGTAAAAACAACTAACTATTTATATTTGGTATTTTAGTCGTTGCATCCTTGTTTATTGAACTATTATATATTTTTAAAATCATATAATTCAAAAAATAGTTTATAGATTAGAAGTTAATATTTAATATAATAAAGTTAGTATAACATTTTATTTGCTTAAAATCTCTGCAAAATTTTAAAGTTAAAAAACGTTTCCTCTGCACATTATTGTTATTATTTCTACGAGATCTCTTTTTTTGTCCAAAAGTGTAAATATCAGTTCTTGTTTGGTACTTCGCATTTATTTTAATAGAAAGGTTTGTCAATTTATGAGTTCCTATGGGATCAGGAAAATACAGGTATAGATGATTTAATACTTTAACATGTATCATATACTCTTTATAATAAACAAATAGCAAAGCTGATTTTTCTATTCTTGTAATGTAGGAAACAATCACAGTTGAAAATTGAGTTATATGTTAAGTTACTTTAAAAGGACATAAAGTTAAATATTTTCTGATGGAAAAGACCTAATACAATATGTTGATAAGAAATTTCACGAATAAAGTAGATATGAAAGTGCATCTTACTGATACTGCGTATTTCCTTCGTACGTGTTCGTATAAGAAGTATTGCATCTATAAAAGACTCATTAAAGTTGTATCGGGATAAGCTTTATCGCAAATCTACTCGTGTACCAAACAAGAACAGAATGAAGACGAACGATATATAACGATTATTTGCGTATAGGCGATGAGGACGCGACCTTGCCGGCTGCTGGAAACAGTCATGGCGCGAACCACCTGCCCGAAGATAACCACGTGGCCGCCCCAACGGAAAAGCCGCATGAGACCAGCCATAAGAAGGAGAAGTCTGTTTTGCAAGCAAAACTGACCAAGCTCGCCATACAGGTATCATCATCATCCTTTCAGCACTATAATACACATACATTAAATGCACTAAAACTAAATATATAATATAATAGCTAGGTACATAAGGAAGAATTATATACATATAATATACAAGGTTCGTTTGCAATCACCGGCAAAATTTATAAAGAAAGTAATAAAGTGTGAAGAAAAATTAATTTAAAAAGAAATCTTAAACATTCTGTACTTTTTACTTTAAGTTCTAAGTGCGTGGTAATTGCATTATTGTAACTGATTTTACTGTACATGGCACATACGTAAGGGTCGATCGGTAGGCAAAAACGTTGTTGGCCATAATTCAATTCAATTTGGGATAATTGCAAATAAAAGTAGAAGCCTAATTTACTACTCGTACTTTCAAAAATTGCAATAACTGTATATCATCTTAATATATGTAAATTACGTGTCACGTGACCGACATAGCCCAACGGATTAGTAAGTGAAGTGGCAAGGGGGCATATAGCTCGAATGAAGAGTATGATAGGTAGTAGAGAAGTAAACTCGACGAGGGGATGGATGCAGGTGGCTCAGGACCGTGCTTTGTGGCATTGCTTGGGGAAGGCCTATGTTCAGCAGTGGACTTGTGAAGGTCTGTAATGATGATGATGATGATGACGTGTCACGTTGTTTGTCCGCGATGGACTCCTAAACTACTTAACCGATTTTAATCAAATTTGCACACCATGTGCAGTTTGGTCCAACTTGAGAGATAGGATAGTTTTTTTTGCCCATGAGTGACCCACAATTTTTTTGCGAATTTAAGGCTTTTTTTAATAGTACATGACAAAGGGTGTGAAAAGAGAATACGTCTGCCTGGCAAGCTAGTTATTTATATATTTGAAACTAAGTTTAAAATTTGGCTACTCTGAAAAACAACTCTGTATATTATTTGATATATGTTTTATTAATTATTATACATAAAACACTAAACATTGTCAATTTCCTACAACTCAACATTATTTCTCATGTGACTTAGAGATGTTATTAATAGTTCCGATTATGATTTGAAGTACTTTATACTCAAGCCAAATTTCGATTTAGTGTAGTCCAGCATTATATTTTAAGAAAGTTACTTGATTAACTTGCTTAGCAATATAGATAAAGAAAGTTTTTTTATTTATTAAAGAATAAGGACGACAAATGAGCATAAATAAAATTCATCTGGTGATAAGTGAAAGCTGTGGCCCATAGACATGTACATTTATCCTCGATTAAAAATCAAAATGCAGATGCGCTGTCACCCCTGAGGACTAAGGTGGAATGATTCGTTTCCAATAAAAAGGATCTCCAGTTCTCTACACACACCATACGAAACACAAGAGCCATAAGCTGCTATTACGCTTGTATTCTGTGAGAGCGCAATCTATCCCTGGTCAAGCCGCTATGTCTATAATATTGCTGCAACGTGGCTCTACCACGTGTAGGAAAACCTGCGTGATTCGAAATCGATATTAAGTTTTAGGTCGTACGAATCCGCAAACACAATGGAGTACTTAATATCACACACTTTTCAGTGATAATGGGGCATTTCTTCGTGTCCTCCGGGATGATAATGCATCTACTTTTGTGTTCTTAATGAAATGTCTATGTTTTAGCATCTGGTGGTTCGTCATGATTGTTTATATAAAAATATATATAATTTCTGACATATTACTTAAAAAACTCATTAAATTTCAGATCGGTTACGCTGGCTCCACGATTGCAGTGCTGACAGTAATCATCCTCGTGGTTCAGTTCTGCGTGAGGACTTTCGTCATCGAAGGGCGGCCGTGGAAGGCCACTTACGTCAACAACCTGGTCAAGCACCTCATTATCGGTGTCACCGTGCTGGTGGTCGCTGTCCCCGAGGGGTTGCCGTTAGCTGTCACCCTGTCGCTTGCTTACTCTGTTAAGGTTAGTACCATGTAATGATGTTGGTAAGGCTCAGAGGGGCTAGAACCTAGAGCCGTAAAGCCAGTTAATAAAAAAAGTAATGATGTTGGTGTTTTGGCGGGAACTTGACATGTGAACTTATCATTTATTGAATTATACAAATACGTATTCAACTTACAAAAGAAAGTCAATTAGACTGTTTTCAATATATGTAAAAAACAAATATATCTTCGACATTAAAGGTTTTCAATGATACACTAGATCTCTACTAAGCTGTAATTCAGAAATGAAAGCGTAAAAACAGGTACAATTTAAAGAAAGTAACATTACGATATAATATGGGTTCATCAGTACTACACGTAGGGTTGCCAACATTTTCTAAATGAAATATATAGTAGAACAATAATAAAAAATGTTTCCAATTAGTATAAAATTTTTAAGGAATATGTTTCGCTGCTTTGTAAATTTTTATTTTTGTTTTCTTTGTCTTTATTTAAGGCCTTACGCCAAAGTCAAACTTTACTTAAATATTTTTTAATTAACATAGAATTAAGAAATAAACAGGCATTTTCAATACTGCGTGCGTCCCAGTTGCCCTTTCATATTAGCTTACGGTATCCTTGGGATGTGATAAGGGGTGATGCAATTAACTCTAATTTGGACCCTGAAGATCCGAGTTAAGTTAAACGAGAGAGAAATAGAGCCTTATTTGAGTTTCCACTTAAATCCTAACCTTGTCCTATTTGTTTTCCAGAAAATGATGAAAGATAACAACCTGGTGCGTCACTTAGACGCGTGTGAAACGATGGGCAACGCGACCGCTATCTGCTCCGACAAGACGGGTACTCTCACCACTAACAGAATGACGGTAGTCCAGTCCTACATCTGCGAGAAGCTCTGCAAAGTCACCCCCAACTTTAGGGATATCCCCGCAGAAGTGGGGGAGACGCTTATAGAAGGAATGTCGGTTAACAGTGCTTTCACTTCTAGGATTATGGTGAGTTGTACACTGTTAAATTTTACAAAGCGATCCATATTTTCAAAAACAGAAATAAAAAACTGTTTTTTTTTTCACTATGTTTTTCTTTTTTTATGAAATTTAATTACTTAATATTAAATAGAAATAATAATTAAAATTATAATATTTACAATTAATACTAATTATACACAATATAAAAAAACTTATAATATAGAAAAACTAACACTAAAAATTAAATAATATATATATTTTTACTACTATACAGACCAAAATATTTCTTATTTTTATACATATTATCTCGATGTTTCGAACTTTTTCTTACACTTGTGACTATGTGATATATTTAGAGTATTTTACATTTGGTATACATGACGCACCGTGTAGTGACGGCGTAAGAAAATTCACTGGCTCACTGTGGATATTGCGGATGCTAACTCGCCTGCCAAGAATGGCAATTATGCCAAGTTTTCCTGTGAGGTATTCTATGGACGAGGCCTATGTTCAGCTGTGACTGATAGGACTTAATAGGCTTTAAAGATTTAATGGAAAATACAAGATGCCATCTGTGTAAAATCATGAAATCTTTGTCTTTTTCCATAGTTGAATCACAGTTTAAAGTGATACAGTTTGGACACGCCTTTGATGTTTTCAATCACAGTTTAAAGCTTACAGTTTTATTTATTAGGTACGTCGTCCTGCGCAAATATATATGTTTACAGTTTTCGATTATTAAATTTTATTAAGTAGTACACTGGCATTCGGATTTACAATTTTATAAAAAAAATAATGAGGGATACATAATTATGGCCGTCATTTAAATTCAACTTTTTTTAGTAACTCATATAACTATATCTGTAATTCACCATTATAGATATTGTAATTTTCGAATACGGCACTTTAAATTAGTTAAATAATTCGTTTAAAACACTTAGTGGAGTGAGCTATCACAAGATCCTATGCCCTCTGCTCCGCAGGCCCCGCCATTGCTCTGCACAAGTACATTCGTTTCCCAACTGTTAGACTCTTTTTAAACTGTAGTTGAGTTGTATAACGACCTCGGAAAAATGTTGACTACGCTCACGGCCATTATACTAAATTGTTACTGACAAATTTTTCCACATCTTTTGGCATCCTTAACAAAATAAACGTTCAACTATTTTGGGTTTTGAAGAAATAACAACTATTATAAGTTACCCGGTTTGGATACGGGGAATTATTAAATAAATTATAAACAAATTTTAAGTTTACTAACAAAACATCGTAAGTTGTAAAATATTTTCATTCCATTTCATTAATTTAATTGTTTTTCTACAGCCTTCCCAAGACCCGACCGGTCCGCCCATGCAAGTTGGAAACAAGACCGAATGTGCTCTTTTGGGCTTTGTGCTGAATTTAGGGCAGAGCTACGACGCTGTACGTGAACGACACCCAGAAGAGTCCTTTACGCGGGTATACACGTTCAATTCCGTGCGAAAGAGCATGTCCACCGTCATACCTTACAAAGGCGGGTACAGGCTTTACACTAAAGGCGCTTCCGAGATTGTTTTAAAGAAGTACGTATTTTTTATAATATTATTTCAACTTATATATTTTTTATAGAATAAGGGTGATATATGAGCACACAGTCCATCTGATGGTAGGTGGATGATGACTGTTCATAGATATCTACATCTATCCTCGATTAAGAAACATAATACAGATAGGTTGTCACCCTTGAGGACTAAGATGGAATACTTTGTATCCAGTAAAAAAGGGTCTCCGGATCTCTGCACTCACCATACGAAACACAGCAGTATTAGGCTACTATTTTACGCTGGTGTTCTGTGAGAGCGTGGTCCTTCCCCGGTCTAGTCGACCCATTCGTGTTGCATCCATAATATAGCTGCAGCATACCGCATATAAAAACGCATCGTATCTAACAACGTAGAAAATATATAGTTAAAGATTAAATATGTCGCAGTGATATTCGATCAGTTCATACGACTCTTTATTCCTGCAACTTATAAAATACTAGCTTGCCAGGCAGACGTCGTTCTGCCCTTTTCGACGACAATTTGTCATGTTCTATTAAAAATTCTTAAATTCGCAAAAAAAAATTGTGAGTCACTCATGCGCAAAAAACTATCCTATCTCTCAAGTTGGACCAAACTGCGCACGGTTTGCAAATTTGATTAAAATCGGTTAAGTAGTTTAGGAGTCCATCGCGGACAAACAACGTGACACGTAATTTATATATATTAAGATAGTGTAAAATAGACGGCCCCCAGTAAATAGACGGCCCCCAGTCCCCGGCGGCCCCGCTATTCCTGGCTACGGTGGCGACCATGGTAACGGCGGGGCAGGGGGTGCTAAGAATCTCCGGTGGAGGTTCGGTTGCCACCTACGACGACTCGACCTGGCAACATTTAACGCACGCACCCTGAGGACTGACGAGAAGATCCTGGAGCTGGAAGAAGAGATAGACAAGTTGCGCTGGAGTATTATAGGATTATCCGAGGTCCGAAGAGAGGGGGAGGACACGGTGATTCTCGAATCCGGCAACTTGTTCTATCACCGGGAGGGCGACCATCTGTCCCAAGGAGGTGTCGGATTTATCGTCCACAAGTCTCTCGTCAACAACGTTGTAAAGATTGGGAGTGTGTCGACGAGGGTCGCGTACCTGATACTCAGAATCACCAAACGGTATTCGCTGAAGGTCATACAGGTTTACGCACCAACCTCGGCACATTCCGATGAGGAGGTGGAGGAAATGTATGAGGATATTTCCAAAGCCATGCATTCCTCCAAAACCCACTACACGGTGTTGATGGGAGACTTCAACGCAAAACTAGGCACAAGAGAAAACGGTGAGCTGAAGTTAGGGAAATTTGGAGTAGGGCAACGGAACCGAAGGGGCCAGCAGCTGGCCGACTTTATGGAGAAAGAGGGACTCTTTATGATGAACTCTTTCTTCCAGAAGCGGCCCCACAGGAAGTGGACCTGGTCGAGCCCCGACGGTTCGACAAAAAATGAGATTGACTTCATTATTACGACCAGACGCCAACTATTCAGTGATGTCTCAGTGATCGCAAGAGTGAAAACTGGCAGCGATCACCGAATGGTTAGAGGCACACTGAACCTAAACGTTAAGTTGGAGAGGTCTCGTCTAATGAAGTCAACGCTTCGTCCCCCCTCGTGCTCTAATCCAAAATCCCGAAAACTTTCAGCTCGAGTTACACAACCGCTTTCAGTGCCTACAAGATTGCAATGCAGTGGACGATATGAATGACAAGCTCGTGGAAACTGTCCATGCGGTCGGAGCTAAGTTCTGCAAGACTCACCGCAGAAGAACACAAAAACTCTCCGATCACACTCTTAATCTCATGGCTGTTAGACGGGAGATGAGGCTGCAATCGTCAACAGATTTGACAGCATACAGGCAACTGAACAGACAGATCTCCAAATGCATGCGGCGAGACTTACGCAACTTTAATACTGCTCGTATTAAAGAAGCGATCGAGCGGAACCAGGGCTCCAAAGTCTTTGCCAGAGATCTGTCTGCCCGTAAGAGCCAACTGTCAAGGCTGAAGACTGAGTGTGGCAGCATCGTTTCCGGGACACCTGAGATTTTGAGTGAGATTGAGAGGTTCTATGGGCAGCTGTACACATCATCGTTAGAGCCACACGCAAGTGTAAGTAGCGATCCAAGAGCAAGTCTTATCCGACACTATTCCGATGATATCCCGGACGTCAGTCTAAGCGAGATTAGAATGGCTCTCCAGCACCTTAAAAACGGCAGGGCCCCAGGCGAGGATGGAATTACAGCGGAGCTTCTGAAAGCGGGTGGAACACCGGTACTTGAAGTCCTTCAGAAGCTCTTCAATTCCGTCCTCCATGGTGGCACTACTCCAGAGGCGTGGAGCAGAAGTGCGGTGATCTTGTTCTTTAAGAAAGGCGACAACGCTCTCTTGAAGAACTACATACCGATTTCCCTTCTGAGCCGCGTCTACGTGCTGTTTTCGAGAGTCATTACGAATCGTCTCGCACGCAGACTCGACGACTTCCAGCCTCCCGAACAAGTCGGTTTCCGAAAAGGCTTCAGTACCATAGACCACATACATACCCTGCGGCAGATTGTACTGAAGACTGAAGAGTACAATTTGCCAATTTGCCTGGCGTATGTGGAGTATGAGAAAGCCTTTGATTCCGTCGAAATTTGGGCGGTGCTGCAGTCCCTTCAGCGGTGCCAAGTTGACTGTCGGTATATCGAAGTGCTGAAGTGTTTGTACAGTAGGTCTACGATGGCTATCCGAGTACAGAACCAGAGCTCGAAACCTATCCAACTGCAGAGAGGTGTAAGACAGGGTGACGTTATATCCCCGAAAGTCTTCACCGCTGCGTTGGAAGACGTTTTCAAGCTACTGGACTGGAAAGGATACGGTATTAACATCAATGGCGAGTACATCACTCACCTTCGATTTGCCGACGATATAGTCCTTATGGCAGAATCGCTGGAGGACTTAAGCACTATGCTCAATGACCTCAATAGTGCCTCCCAACGGATAGGTCTTAAGATGAACATGGACAAAACAAAGATCATGTTTAATGTCCATGTCACACCTATGCCGGTAGTTGTTGGGAGCACTATGCTCGAAGTTGTTGACGAGTACGTTTACCTGGGACAAATAGTCCGACTAGGTAAGTCCAACTTCGACCGAGAGGTCAATCGACGGATTCAACTCGGCTGGGCAGCGTTCGGGAAATTACGACACATCTTCTCGTCAGGTATACCTCAATCTCTGAAAACTAAAGTGTACAACCAGTGCGTGTTGCCAGTGATGATTTACGGATCAGAGACGTGGTCCTTCACTGCTGGCCGTATGAGGACGCTCAAGGTCGCTCAGCGAGCTATGGAGAGGGCTATGCTCGGAGTTTCTCTGCGTGATAGACTCAGAAATGAGTATATCCGCAGTAGAACCAGAGTGACCGACATAGCACAACGGATTAGTAAACTGAAGTGGCAATGGGCCGGCCATATAGCTCGAAGAACCGATGAACGATGGGGAAGAAAGGTTCTCGAGTGGCAGCCTCGTACCGGTAGGCGTAGTGTAGGGCGACCCCCACTGGATGGAGTGACGACCTGGTAAGATATGCAGGAAGTCGATGGATGCAGGTGGCTCAGGACCGTGCTTTGTGGCATTACTTGGGGGAGGCCTATGTTCAACAGTGGACTTGTGAAGGGCTGTGATGATGATGATGATGATAAGATAGTGTAACTAGCTAGGCCAAGAGACGATGTTCTGTCCTTTTTAGTTAGATGGCGCTATAATTTTCACTCTGAATTTTATGATTGAAAGTATTATTTTAGTAATAAATCCATCACAATGCCACATATTTGGTCCAGATTTCGTGATGTACTGTTTTGGCATTAAACCGAAATACTTTGAATATGAGTAAATATAAAATTTGGTAATAACTTCACTACGGCGTTATCTATCGGATCGTAACTTAGCTATGAGCTAATCATAATCATATCAATATATTGTGTGAATATGACTAATCGGTATATTTCGTTCAGAAATTTCACAATCACCCACAGACTCACTAACGATTATATATATATATATTTAAATAATGATGTCGATATTTATTAGTAAAACTTCCCTAACGTTCATTCTCAATTAATATATTTTTGGTAATAACTGATTTTTTTTCTGAATTTTGATTTCAGAACTAAATGGCAAATTAATAAATTAACAAATAACTTTTCAGATGTGCATTCATCTACGGACACGAAGGCCGCCTGGAGAAGTTCACGCGTGACATGCAAGAGAGACTGGTCAAACAGGTCATCGAACCTATGGCCTGCGACGGCCTGAGGACCATATCCGTCGCCTACCGGGACTTTGTGCCGGGCAAAGCTGACATCAACCAGGTACTACAGTGATCACTATAGTTGGTTTTATAAAAAGGTGACTTAAATGACTGAAATTAGTTTAAATTATGTACCCATTTTACAAATATCTTACAACCAGTATATTTTTTATCACTATGTGGGTATATATTGGTGATTGCAGCTCTCCCTCTTTAGTTAGGATTCTTTACTATATAGAAGTTTTTAGCATAAAGATAATATAATATTAGGTTGTATATAACATGTATTATGATTCACATTTTGCTGCAGTCTGGTTACATAATGTTCCGTATATCACTTATGTCGCTGATACTACGTTAACGAATAATCAGTCTATAGTTCGTGCCAAATCGATTGAGAAAAACGGACCTTTAGGTCGTTTAACCAGGGGCTACAAACCTTCAATACATGGCCACTTTTTATATGTAGTACTTTATTTATAATGTTTTTTTATTTTATTTTTATAATGATTGATATAATATATATTTATTAACTAACGTAACCGCTGTTATTACATCTAAATTGAGATTTTGTCAGTTACGCCTTTTGACACTCGGCTCATATCTGAGGTCATCGTCCGTTTTTCTCAATCGATTTTGCACGAACTATAAAATAGAATAGTAAAAATGTTTTTTTATTCAAAATGGTATTTGCTTTAACAAATTCGAATGCGGAAGAGGTTTGAAAGAAATAATTGATAAATTGGAAGAAAGTTTGGCGTTTTTCCCATTACATATTATATTGTTACAAGATTAAATGTGAAACTTATTTCTTATTGTCTCTTTCAAACAGGTGCATATAGACCAAGAACCGAATTGGGATGACGAGGACAACATCGTGAACAACCTTACCTGCCTCTGTGTCGTCGGTATTGAGGATCCTGTCAGGCCCGAGGTAATGTGTCATGTAATTTATAATATAAATATATTCACTTAAATACAGACATTGAAAATTGTACTTTACATTAATTTATACAAGTATCAAAACTAAATGCAATTTCATGTACATAATATGTATTTTAAAGTACACCTTCCGTCTATTAACATTAATTAATTAATTGCTAATATCGATGTTAGAAGTTATTATGAATTAGTCTTATATCCAAAAATATATAATAATTGATATAATTCATATTATTACATATTGCAAAATGGACTTTATTTTAATAGGCATAAACAATCTTTTTTATTTAAAAAAAGCAATGCCGACAACACTTCTAATATCTCGTTAACCGCTCGTTGTAAGTGGTATTGTCGTTGTTTTCGAAAGTATTAAACATAAAGTCGATAATTGCAGGTGCCGGAAGCTATCCGCAAATGCCAGAAGGCGGGCATCACGGTTCGCATGGTGACGGGTGACAACGTGAACACGGCCCGGTCTATCGCGATCAAGTGCGGCATTCTCAAACCCAGCGACGATTTCCTTATCCTGGAAGGCAAGGATTTCAACACACGAATTCGGGATGCGAATGGAGAGGTTAGATCGTGCAGTTGCATACATATTTATCATTATCTTGATGCTTTAAAAAAGTAGTCCCGCTGAGTTTCTGGCTGGTTCTTCGGTAGCAAGCAAGCAGTGGTATTGCTTAAATGACTTATTAAGTATTATTGTAATCTATATTGAATAAAAAATATTCTTATTTTATTCTATTCTACTAGCTGCGACAGATGGCGTTATATCATCCACGACTTTTCTGCCACTAGGGCGGCGTCACTTAAAAATGGGGTTGTAATATTATTTTGTCAGATTTCATAGTTGGGAAGTTAAAAAATGTAAAGGTTAATGTTTCTTTCTGTACTAGTTAGGTAAATTAATTAGTCACTAACTTTATGTTAAACTTTTTTATTGATGTTACAAAACCATTATCTATCTTTTGTTCGTAAAACTTATTTTTGTTCCAACTACCATTAAAATAGGCAAATCATAAATACTGGTTTTTGAATGATGTGTTCTCCTTTAATTGGTAGTACATAGTAATTTGTAGATGTAAGGCATATGTTAGAAGTGATTTAATAATATGTACAACTGTTGGTAAAGTAAAGTAAAGTTACAGCCTATATACGTCCCACTGCTGGGCACAGGCCTCCTCTCATTTCTAAGAGGGTTTTTAGGGCAAGGATATGTCCGCCGCGCTGCCCCAATGCGTATTGGCGAACTTCACATGTCTTCGAAATATTTTTTTCCTTATTTCTCAGATATGTAAGTTTCCTCACGATGTTTTCCTTCACCGTCGAGCACATGGTAAATTAGCACTTAAAATTGCAATTAACAATTTCATTGGTGCCAGCGGGGATCGAACCCGAGTTACTCGCATTCTGTTATATTTACAGCGGGCGTTAACCAACTGTTGGAGATCCATCCAATATACAAATAAATAAATTATATAGTTATATTTTATATTAATTCGATTAAAAATAAATAAACCAATCCACAAATATTCATAAAAGAAGAAAAATTATAAAAAGAGTTAAAATGTGCAGAAAAACTAGAGAGCTAACTACCGAAGCATTGTTTTGTGTATAATAATAAGGGTAATAATTTTTACAACTGTTTAAACATTAAGGATGTTATAATAATCACTTGAAAAATTAATGGGCAGATATTTAATTTTCTTGTGGTTAGTAAATTACCATAGCAGTTAAATGAACAATGAAAAATGAACAGTAATAAAAAGAAAATTTTGCAGTTATTCCATCCTGCAATTCAGTTTCCAAAATTATTCAGTGTAATAAATGAATGGTCAGTAAAATGATGGAATGGTCGGTTAGACAAATAGTTTGGGCAGTTCCCGGTGAGCGGTAACACCTGAACGTCACTGATTGAAAAGAGAGGCAATCTTCCGTAGAAGGGACGGGACTTGAAGTCTAATACTCTCTGTGAAGTGTTAAATTGCATGACGCTAATTTTCATGCATTCCGCCATTGGTTGCTCTTACGTGAATGTGTGTTCTTCAGTATATTATTATGGGCAGAGAGTCTGGTGTGTCTGTACTTGAAGGAAGCCTGTATTACGGATCACCAGGGTCTTCCCCTCAGGATACTATCAGTATAACATATTATTTGTATGATTAACATAAGAGACAAGATATTCTATTACTAGTTACATTTGTGATGTGTGTGTATGAGTGAGTGAGTTTGTGTGTATTTATGTATGTGTTAAAACTATGTGTATGAAGTAAGGTTATCAGTGATGTCATAGTCAAAATGAAATATTTCTCCCAACAGGTACAACAACACCTGCTGGACAAAGTGTGGCCGAAGCTGCGCGTGCTTGCGCGTTCGTCTCCCACGGATAAATACACGCTGGTGAAAGGAATGATCGAGTCCAAGGCGTTCGACAAGCGAGAAGTTGTCGCGGTCACCGGCGACGGAACCAACGACGGACCCGCGCTCAAGAAAGCCGACGTTGGATTCGCTATGGTGAGTTTTTACGTCACCAATTTTCATAGAAGTAACAATATGTAAAACCTATCCGCACTATCGACGATAGCAACCGGAGATAGGTTTGCCTATCGATAGAGTTTTATCATCGTATCATCATTACAGCGCATCTCAAGTCCACTGCTGAACATAAACCTCCCCTAAGGAATCTCACAAAGCATGGTAAAGAGCCACTTGTATCCATCGACCTCTTAATAAGTTTATTCCGTTGTAGAAATGAAAGGTACATAAGTTTTACTATCATTTGGAGGGCAGAGCAAGAGATAGAATGAATATTGGGAAAAACTGAAGTCTTACCTTGAGTTTGAGTAAGTTAAGCCCTCAGATCATATAAACAACAGGAGATATGGCAAGGAGGCGTGGCACTTGTGAACGCATCTGGCCGCAAAGCGGCCTGATGCCAGTTTCGGTAATTAGTCGAATGTCAACTTGTGACGTCTTCACTGCTCGTGATTTTTGACAAAATGCCGCGTTGTTCAGTGATTGTTTGCAAAAATAACAGCTGTATTGTGAATTACATGAAAGATGGCATCTCATTTCACACGTAAGTACTAAAATATTAATGTTTTTCTTATTCAGTTTATTAAAACATTACTTCGTGGTACTAGAAACACGATGAAAAACTAAATCAAATGTTTTCATTAGGAACAAAAACCATTGCTTGCTTAGTACAAATCGACCTGTGAATCAGCTGGTCTAATAGCGCAATGGATAAGTGTTTTACTGATACTCTCACTCACACGATAGCAGTTTCGTGAAGCAGCCGCTGCCGGCTTTTGTGAGTTAGAGATGTGAATGCGTGTGTGTGCGCTACTGCGTATCTATCAATTTAATGAACTGCATGTGTAGTAGTTGGCGGGGAGAAACTGGCGACAACAGGTTCCGATACATTTTAACTAACGGGCATATCTCCTGTTGTTTATATGATCTGAGGTTAAGCCCGTGCTTTGCGCCATTGGGATTTAATTATTTTCGATATTTTCTCTAATAAAAACGAACTTGCAATTAGCCAAAAAATTTGAAGGTCATAGTGAACCCACCCGAAGTTGCTTTTACAGATCGTGTTATAGTGTAGTTCGTGTAATCCATTTCAGAGAATAAATAAAAATATATTTAAAAGTTAGTCCATCTGGCACAGCTCTTACATTTCCGGAGGTTTTAGGGCAAGGAAATACCTGCCGCGCTGCCCCAATGCGTGTTGACGAACTTCACATGTCTTCGAAATATATTTTTTCTTTTTTCTCAGACGTGCAGGTTTCCTCACGATGTTTACCTTCACCGCTGAGCACGTCATAAATCGGCACCTAAAATTGCAATTAACAATTTCATTGGTGCCGGCGGAGATTGAAACCGGGTTGCTCGCGTACTGTAAAATTTACAACGACCGCTTAGCCCAAAAAAAAACATTACAATAAATAAAATAATAAAATTTAATTAATTGGGAAAACTTTCACGTATGGAGTGTAGAAGTAAGTAGTACAGACTGTGTATTAAAAAGTGTCCATAGAAAACCGTTAAATAAGGGTGGCGCCACTATAGCTACGGGGTATACTTTAAAGAACGCACCGAAAAATATTAGTAGGATAGACGACTTTTTCGAGGTTATATTAACTAAATAAAATTATTTTAGATTTTAGAGCTACTGAGCAGTTTAGCAGCACACTTAAACCGTCGACAACTAAGTTCATTTCATCCCAGTAGCTGCTCCAGCGCTGTTGTGGAGAGTTTTTGAACTGTTATTTACTGCTTACAGATGACCACTTTTTCAACTATTCTACTATGGGAGTTGGTGCTACTTACTTCTACACTCCATACTTTCACGTTCAAAGATACCGTCATCACCGTCACCCACGACGATGTTACCAGATTTGAAAAAATTGCCAAATTTTAAGTAATTATAATAAAAGCATGTATTTTAAATAACAATAATGTCTATTAATGTAATTTCACTACAGTACTTATGTGTCCCTATCGGATCGGACAAGAGTTTCTAAGCTACCGCGGATTTTTACACCTATTTTTAATAATTTGTCCATTTTCCCTCCTCAGGGTATCGCCGGTACGGACGTAGCCAAAGAAGCCTCGGACATCATCTTGACGGACGACAACTTCTCGTCGATCGTAAAGGCGGTGATGTGGGGCCGCAACGTGTACGACTCCATCGCCAAGTTCTTACAGTTCCAGCTCACCGTCAACGTGGTCGCCGTCATCGTGGCTTTTATTGGCGCGTGCGCGATACAGGACAGTCCTCTCAAGGTAATAATTGTCTATTTCGTGTGTATATTTATCTAGTTGTTGTTACTTTTTATTATAAAACTAGCTTGCCAGGCAGATGTTGTTCTGCCCTTTTCGACGACCCTGTCATGTCCTATTAAAAATCCTTAAATTAGCAAAAAAAAAAATTGTGGGTCACTCATGGGCATAAAAAAAATATCCTATCTCTCAAGTTGGACCAAACTGCACACGGTGTGCAAATTTGATTAAAATCGGTTAAGTAGTTTAGGAGTCCATCGCGGACAAACAACGTGACACGTAATTTATATATATTAAGATAACGGTGAAATACACAGTCCATCTTTCGGCTACCGGTACGAGGCTGCCACTCTAGAACCTACCCTATTGATTGTTTTTTTCTTCGAGCTATTGCCACTTCAACTTACTAACCCGTTAGGCTATGTCGATCACTCTGGTTCTACTGCGGATATCCTCATTTCTAATCTTATCACGCATTAGACAGGGTAGTGTAGTTTAATCTCCCACTATGATTGAATCGGTCGCTCCCGACCCGCAGGCCGTGCAAATGCTGTGGGTAAACCTGATCATGGACACGTTGGCGTCGCTGGCGCTGGCCACTGAGCTGCCCACGTCCGACCTGCTGCTACGCAAGCCCTACGGACGCACCAAACCGCTCATCAGCCGCACCATGATGAAGAACATTCTCGGACAGGCCATCTACCAGCTCTTCATCATATTCTCGCTGCTCTTCGTTGGTTCGTATCGATATATATATTTTTTTATTTGTTATTTCTTACACACCTATGTATTTTGAAAGCGCTTACTAATATTCATACAGAAACATCTAGTCCTGGTACAAATATGTATTTAAAAACCCAAACAAATAGACAAACATCAATCAATCAAAATTTAAAAGCCAAACAAGTCCTTGTTTTTGGCGGAACCAAACTCGGAAAAGGCAGCTGAACGCTTAACCGCTACTAATTGAAGTGAAGTCCGCTAATACGCACAAGACGAAATGCTCCATAAATCTTATGAATCCTAGCCTGACCTCAGCGGTAATGAATGGATCCTATTTAGACAGTAACTTTGCTTCTTTGCAAAGCCTGAAGGGGATGATACCTTTAACCATTAAGAACGTATTAAGCTAAACTAGTCTCAGACAAAGTCTGCTCTTTTTTTAAATTTATTTTCTAATCTTCCAAACAGACTGTGTATAATACGTATTAAGAACTCTACAAACCGGCGCCAAAGGTCCAAATTTAGTATTTTATTTTGTTACTTAACCAACATTTTTGTTACAATTGTGAATTTTTGGTCTATGAATGTTGATATTGGTCATTAAGACGCATAAATATAGAATTTGATAGTAACTTCGTAATCGGTTCCTATCATACCTATGAAAAAACCTGTTATGTCTCGACAATGTATGTATGACAAACAAATGTATCTCAAAATATGATCACAATCGGTCTAATCACAAAAGTAGCGTGTAATAAGTAAATAAACTTAGAAAAAAGTTTAAAAAAAAATTAGCCTATTATTTTTAAAGAATAAACCTGTCCACCTGTTCGTAGGTGCATGCTGTGGCCCATAGACATCTACATCTATTCTGGATTAAGATTAAAAATACAGATGTGTTGTGATCGCTGAGGAAAGATGAAATGCCTCGTATCCAGTAAAAAGGGTCACGGGTTCTCTACACTGACACTGACCACGAAACATAGCATAGGATTCCTCAAATTTTTTATTACTTTAAATGGAAGAAGAGCCATTCTGCTGCTATTTTACGTTGGTATTCTATGAGAGCAGGATCATACACCTGTCGAGGCGACCCATTCGTGCTACAATCTTAATACAGCTGCAGAGTGGCTCCACCACTTAAAGTAAAACGTAATTTATTATAGAATCAGTTAAATGACAATAGACAAAATGAATTTAAACTTTTGAGGAATACTATTAAAGTTATCTGCAGCTATCGTAAGTATTGTCAAACTCATGCTATGGTAAAGTAAAGTAACAGCTTATGATATACATCCCACTGCTGGATCTCCACTGCAAGTCTTGTCTCATTCTTAAGAGGGTTTCAGGGTAAAGAAATGCCAGACGCTGTGTGGTGCTGTATTTATTTACTTTTTTTTATAGAATCGGGTGACAAACGAGCACACGGTCCACCTGATGGTAAGTGGTTGCTGCGGCTCATAGACACTAATCGAACAAATCAAAATTCAGATGCGTTGTCACCCGTGAGGACTAAGATGGAATGCCTCGTTTCCAGTAAAAAGGGTCTCCGGTTCTCTACACTCACCATACGAAACACAGCAGCATTAAGCTACTATTTCACGCTGGTATTCTGTGAGAGCGTGGTCCTTCCCTGGTCGAGCCGACCCATTTGTGCTACAACTATACTACTAATATAACTGCAGCATGGCTCTACCACGTTGAAAATTTATTATTTTAGTGGGCTGACCAACAGTGAGTACACTAAAATGATTAGAATTTATTGAAACTAACTATTGTAAAAGACATTATCGTATAATTAATTCCAGGTGACAGAATACTAAACATCCCCTCGGGTCGGGGCCAGCCGTTAGGCTCGGAACCAACGCAGCACTTCACCATTATCTTCAACACTTTCGTAATGATGACGCTGTTCAACGAAATCAACGCGCGTAAGATACACGGCCAGAGAAACGTCTTCGAGGGGCTCTTCACCAACCCTATCTTCTATTCGATATGGATCGGTACTGCTTTGTCGCAGGTAAGTGCGAGTGTTCAATTCTATTAATACGAAATAAAAAAAGTAAAAGGTAAAACAGGCTAAAGAATTCTATCTTAGTCCTTGCAGTGGAAAGAGATAACGCGGCTATGATCCCTCCACCATATTACATAAAGTAGTTTATCGTGTATCGTATCTATAGTTCGTGCCAAATCGATTGAGAAAAACGGACATTGACCTTTCGTCGTAACAGGGGCTACAAACCTTCAATATATAGGCACTTTTTATATGTAGTATTTTTCTCAATCGATTTGGCACGAACTAAATATACCACGGGGATTGTTTCTGATGAATTGTTCGGATCAGTTTCAGCCGCCAAATTTCACGAACGCACATCGCGTCAAAATTCGCGATACCTATCCTCAACATCTTCATGCTTGGCGGTCCACCACTGTGCGTTTTACTAGAATTTTTCTTCCTCGTACAACTTCTCTGTGGAATTGTTTACCACCGGAGATTTTTCCGGACCGATACGACTAAGAAAAAGAGCTTACTCCTTTGTAAAAGGCCGGCAACATACCTGCGATTGCCTCGGTGTTGCGGTTGACCATGGGCGGCGGTAGTTACTTACTATGAGGTGAGCCGCATGCTCGTTTGCCCCCTCTTCTATAAAAAAAAATGTTTGAACTAGAGGCTGTTTCAATAAAATCAGAATCGGAAAATATGCGACCTAAAATGTAAAGTAGAGAAATTCACAACTAATCTCAAATGAATTCTGTGGCACCGCAACCAAAGAAGTTCGGTCATGACAAAGAACATGACGTTTTTGTTCTAAGTTGTTTACTCAATGCTATGCACTTACCCAATCATACGATTTTTACTGTTTAAAAAAAACTTCCAACCAAAATAGATTATTATTGTATTGACCGTTATTTCAAATCAAGTTTTTTTTATTTATATTGAATAAATGAATCACTTGCGAACGAATGTACAAATTGAATGGCATTATACGATTTTTAAATTGACTATATGTGGCTATCTATATCAGGTCTGCACTTACTGGTCCGCCTGACCAGTATGGTCAGTGTTGCCAAATAATTCAAGTTGTGCATGCTAGCTGACGCATTCTTGAAAATGATTGTTTATCTATCGATACAAAAAAAACGTACCCGCAGTATACCTGATGGTAAGTGGAAGTGCATAAAAACACCTGCAGCCAACTTCAAGTGCAATAGCTTACAGATCGTTTTTACTTCTAAGGACTAAGATGGAACGCCTCACAGCCTATAATTATACAGGATCTTCATACCATTCAGACTGGAACACAACAGTGCACGTACTGCTGTTTGGTGAACCACCTAGACGAACTACTAGCAAAAATAATGCTAATACATAGGAAACACTATAATAGCCGTGGTAGCTCAGTGGTTAACGCTCGCTGTAAATATAACAGAACGCGAGTAACCCGGGTTCGATCCCCGCCGGCACCAATGAAATTGTTAATTGCAATTTTAAGTGCTGATTTACCACGTGCTCGGCGGTGAAGGAAAACATCGTGAGGAAACCCGCATGTCTGAGGAAATAAGAAAAAAAATATTTCGAAGACATGTGAAGTTCGTCAACACGCATTTGGGCAGCGCGGCGGACACTTCCTTGCCCTAAACCCTCTCAGAAATGAGGGGAGGCCTGAGCCCAGCAGTGGGACGTATATAGGCCGTAACTTTACTTTACTTTTACTTTACTATAATATCCCTTCAACAGTCAAAAACGTCGAGATGGCGCGCACCGATAGTCCAAACAGCCGCTGCGGCTGTTTATTAATTCACTGTGTTGCCGGTTTCATAACCTGTTCATATTTATGCAGACGCTTGTTGATAGACAAAGCTAGATAACAAATAATTTTTAATCTGTAATTTGTTGACGAATTTCAAGTTTTGTCAGTCGAAAATCGTCAATTTTCCCGCCAATTCAATGCTTGTTCATTTTATTTCATATTTAGTATTATTTTGTTGTTTATTATTGCTGAAAAGAGTATTGAGAAGTATATATTATCTTTAATATTTGTACGTAGTTTTGTATGTTTTCATTAGATTTTGTTGCGAAATTTTATTTTTAAAAAAATCAGGTGCCCTCATATTTAAACGAGTTTATTACCTTTTAGCACTAATGTGATATTATGTTATAAACTTAGGTCAGAAAAACAGTTTTGTGTTTTGTATAAACAACGTCATTATTCCCATAAAATACAAAAAAAAAAAACACGAATTAAAAGTAAAGTATAAAACTTTTTGGTCCGGGCAGTATTAGATAGTTATGTATATTATAGATTACTGTTGAAGGGATATATTGTAAGTTGCCGTATGGTGTCGACGTCGGACTACTCATCGATCTATTTCTCCCCTTGTTTCTTACGAAGGGAATGCAATGATGTCATCCATCATTCATATAAATGTTATTATTTTTTATACTAGTATTAACAAAAAGCGGTTTATCGAGCCAGTAGTGAATAAGAAAATGCGTTTGAATATTTAGTTTTATGTACTTTGTGTTAGCTAGTGTAAATAATCGTTATTGGACATTGTTTATTTATTATTTTCGCCGGTCATTTTCCAAACTTATTCCCCACTGTCAATAGATTCTGATAAAGCAGTAATAATTCTGGGACACTGCAACATGTAATCAATGTTATTGGAATAGTATTAATTTGTATAGACGAATAAACAGATTTAGGTGAGTAAGGGATACTAAAATAGTTAAGAATATTTGTTTAACATTTCAGGTGGTTATAATCCAATTTGGAGGCATGGCGTTTAGTACGGCAGGTCTTTCGATAGACCAGTGGCTTTGGTGTTTGTTCTTCGGCGCGGGGACGCTGGTGTGGGGACAGTTGGTCACCACTGTACCCACCAAGAAAATACCCAAGAAGCTCTCGTGAGTATACCGTTTTAATGCCTGTGCTTTATGTTTAGAAATAATTGTATTGTAATATTGATGACTATCAGAAAAAATAATAGCTATATTTTTAAATATAGCATTGATAGCGTGACACTAATGAACATTTACAACAATAGTATTTTTTGTAGAATAAGGGTGACAAAAAACACACCTGATCGTATGTATATGCCTTCATAGACATCTACATGTATCCTCGATTAAGAATTAAAATGCAAATGCATTGTTACACTGATGAATAAAATGGAATGTCTCGTTTCCACTAAAAGGGTCTACGGTTCTGTACACTCACCATACGACACGTTAAGCCTACTAGAATTAATTTGCCATTTTATTATTTATTATTTTACGGTATTTTGGTAATGGTACGCATGAGGCATATGTTCAGCAATAATTTTTATATGCTGTAACCGAGTGGAACGAAGCAGTTAAAATGTGACGAAAATCACAACACAAAAAAAATTGGATTGGATTTATACCCTAGATCTGTGGCGTGGAATCTACTCTAAACATTAGGCCGTGAAATGGTCGTCATAACGTTTGTGCATTAATTGATCCGTTAGTTGGGGCCGAGGCCAGCCGGACCCGGAGTCCATCCAGCCCGGTCCGGACTACGACTCGGATCTGGACAAGAAGCCGCGCGCCGGACAGATCCTGTGGATCCGCGGGCTCACGCGCCTGCAGACGCAGGTACGCACGCACACACGTGCACGCGCACACGCGCACACACGCGCGCCGGCTACGCCCGGCCACGCCCGCGCCGCGCGGACGAATAGGCCAAACACCCTAACTCTCTGCAATACTATTTAAAAAAAACATATACTGCATAGAGTAGTAGATAATTTCAAATTACTGACATTCGTTTTTTTAAATCTTTTTGAACTTCTTTTTTTTAAATCATATTTCACATGTTACATGACATATTTATGTTAGTACAAAATTGAGGTATTATTACAGTTAAAAACTTTAGTTTTATGTTAAAAAAAAGCAATAGTAACGTTATAAAATAAAGGAACCTAATAATTCTTGGCCTATTCGTCCACGGGTGCTAACTTTGGCAGCTAAATTGGGTTTAAATGTTACGCTAATTGGCATTTTGGGGGGATCTATGTGGGATTTTGTCCTTGTAATACGCAAATATAAAAATAAGAACAATATTTTCATTTTGTGGGGCTTGTTTTGTTTAAATTAATTGAATTGATATTTGAAGAATTTCATGGTTAATTTTTAGTGTGTCCTTACTGTAACGAATGTTCTTTTTTAATTTTTTAATACTCCATTCACTAAATAAATATTAATTAAAGAACATTTTTTACAATATTACAATGACAGTACTTTGCCGTTTTTAGTTAATATTCAATGTCAACAACATTTTTAAAACAGTTAAATATTGGTACATGATTACATTTAATTATAATTTAATATGGCAATTTTAAACACTTTTTGGATTCCCACACAAATATAAGAAATAACTGCAAAATACTGTTATTTCTTACTGTCATAGATAACATCATGATAATATTGCGGCTGTGATTTAAGACTGATATAATTATTATACATTAAAAAACATGATGATATTCTAAGGCATTTATTATAAAATTAATTACTTAACAAAGTTTACTTGACATAAAAAATTCATTTTAATCTAAAATTGATCTTTAATGTAAACTTTGTTGGGTAAAAATATGTAATTAAAAAAATGTATTGTTTAATATGATTGAAATAAAAAGTCATATAGGAGTGGCAGAAATGTTCGTGTTTAATACGAAAGAGGGATAAGTTTTAAGTTTGCAGCATTATTTAAAACTATAAACAGCAAAGTCAACAGGTCAACACTGCGGATACCTTGGGCATCCTTAACGCTAAGTCAACGATATAAGTCCATTTATATATCCGTATATTATATATTTACTTTTATTCTACTTTTTGCATACAAGCCGAATATAATCACCATTTTTAATACTACGCATCTATGTATAGATTATATCGTCATAGAATAGTGATTACGCTGAGTCATATTTATTACACATATACTTCAATAAAATTGGTACAGTGAGCCGGAATTCTAATTAAAAATGAACGACACAAAAATTTCGATAGCAAATTCATACCTTTCTGAAAACGACTGTACGTTCATTATTTTAATTTTATTTTTTCTTTTATTTTCCTTCATTTTCTCTTACGTCTCACAATTATTTTCATTCTCCTGTACTTCTGTTCTAATTCGATAATTATTTTTTTCTATACCTACACAGAGAAACACTTAACAGAGTAAATTTTAGTAGATACGCTACATTATTTTGGCCCATTAACGTAGATACAAAATTGTTCGGTCACTAATTATGCTAATTATGTATGAAAAACATAAATTTACAATTAATTTAGGAAAATTGCTAAATTAGCGACCGTTCAATGCTACATTAGATTTTTTTTTATTCTAAAAAATATTTATTTTCGAACTGGTTCCATGACATCTATCCCCTTTAACTCGATTCTCTTTTTCAGTATCTCTTATCTTATTCTGTTTTCAAACTCTCGTGTGTAACTGTCTTGCTCGCACACTACTCTAAGCTGTCATGGGACCGGGATTGATCCCCTTAGTGTTACACTAGTTAGAAGCCTAAAACATCGTGAGTAACGGCCGTGCATGCTTCGCAAAGAACCCAGTCTGACGCTTCCCGATTTTTTTATTTACTATGATTTGTTTTTAATTTACCACCACCCTGTATCACAACCCCATTGGCATGCGATTAATGTAGGCTGTGACGATGTTACTTATCCCTCATGTTTGTAACCTCAAACAGTTACTATGACTATGTCCCTATAGTGTTTTACTTTTATATATAATTTACTCAACAATAACAACATCGCGGTATGAATATGACTATCTCTTTTTCTCCTCTATCTTTTTTTTACTCTTAGTCATACTGACTGTTTGATTTTTTCTATTTTTGTCTGTTTTTTTTAGTTATTTATTTAAGAATAGTGTTTTTTTTTTGCTTGTGATACGCCAACCCAATACATCCTCGTTACTGATCCAAAGCAACCCAAGCTCTTGTTTGTATGAGACGCCGTATGTTCAAAAACCCGAGTGCTGGAGGACCGCACGGCGACTAACACGCGTTACCGATATCAGATACCGAAGCAGTAACATGTTCATTTTGATAAATGTACTTTTTTTTAATGATTTTTCAATGCATTATTTAATTTATACGAATTGTGTTCAGTTACTGCTAAACGAGGCGTTCATTTACTTGAGTGTGGAGTGGATTTTTCTTGAAATAAAAAATACAATTAGAGAAAAAAAATGTTGATACACCTTTTAGTGAGCATGGCGCGTACGCTCGCCGTACTAACACTATAAATTATAACCGTTCTCGACCGAACAATTCTCTTTCCTTTGCTGTTGTGTTGTCAGTGTTTTGAGTGTTTTTGTTTTTTTTTTAATGTTTTTTTTTTGTTTTTTGTCCATGAATGTTGTCCGTTCGAGCCGTACTTTGGGGGGTGTGTCGTCACATGGGTGTAAGCGTCAAACTGAAAGATGGGCGTGTCAATGTCAATAGTAGCCTTGCCTTGCCATTTTGAAAAAATGCCTTGATTGTTATTTTGCGTTATAGGCTTGTTGTAGTGTCCAATTAATGTATTAATTGTAAATATAGTTGTACTGTGTAGGCGACGGCGCTATTTTTGGTAAGTATCATGTGTAGAACTAACGTGATACAGTTTTTTAAGTTTATTTAAAAACAGTGATTCTGTGAAGCTTTCTAACCTTACTTCGACGTTACAATTGTGCAAATATTAACTATTTTCTTACCTTCTAATATTTATTTGTTTGCATTCTATCGATGATTGCATAAGTGAAACAAACTATATTTCACAATTGTAAATCGTCTTACTAAAATTTAGTAGGCAAATGTCTGTTCCTCCTTGGCTCCCGAAATTAGATGTTTAACAAAACTATAACAAGGCATGATAGATTAAGTAATGTCACATGTACTAAAACGACGAGATAAAATGCGAGCCACCACCATAGAGGCATATGGAATTTGATATAGATGAAAATTTGTAATGTGCTGTATAAATATAAATAAATAAAACCTCCCATCAATAAGCATATAAATAAGATGCTAAAGCCATTTAGTGGCACATTAGGTGTGACCCGGTGAAAATATGGTAGTGAACCCTGATCCTTACAAAGCATTCGTGTGTCATCTCCCTGCGTTGTCTAGGAGTAGTGTGGCCAGCAGTCGATCTTCAGGGTAGCTAAGGCCTCGATTCGACTCCCATTTCAATTTATGCCCTGAGTTTTTGTTTTCATTACTTTTTTTTTGGTTTGATCGTTACTCATTTGGTTTGGCACTTCCGAGTCATATTCGTATCACGTTACACCGGCCATAAAATGGCCGCATACATGCCTCAGTATACACCAGACACTGTTCCGTTTTTAATTTTCTTTTTGTGTAAGAATAAAGGTTTCCACTCTCTCCGTGTTGGCCTGCTTTCAGTGACAACAGATATGGGGATATATGTTTCTAAGTAAACATTATGTTTGTAATATGTTACACTTTAATAAATCACGCTTTACTCGCCTGGATATGTTTTTGTTGTTATTTTTTCTTTGCTTGTGATAATTTAAAACTCATATTTAAAAAAAACTAATTCAAAAAAAGTCTTATGGGTTATCAAAAAATAAAATGATATTGTCGTATAAATCACACGTAAAACCTTAACTTTGCTAAATTATTTGACATGTACATTTTCTATGTGTTTATTTATATATGATCTGTAAATTCCAGTTGCCATCATTAAAAAATATGTGCAATATAATATAGTAAAAATGTAAAGCAGTATAAGCAATGAAATATGAATTTTTATGGTTAATTTTAAAAACAAATCCAATTCCCAAAGACGTCTTTTGGTATTTATCAAAAATCATACTGATGTTTAATTTTCGATTAGTATTATTTATAAACAAAATTTTTATAACTAAAATGTTTGTATAATACCTCTATATATATATCTATAACACCCAGAATTATCACGTTTAAAACTAATTAATATCATAACCATCAATAAACTATTCCGAGAAAAAATTATTCGCGCCAGGCGAGCGAAGCGTGCCACAGCACCTCTCTCCTTACAAACAATTGTAAAAAAAATCTCCCAAATCTGGCGGCGATCAGTTGTAAAGCTAGGGCTGCGCACGTAGGACGGTGTCGAATGGGGCGAGCCGCGCGTCGTTGAGAGATGTTGTTGGCAGCCCCGGCCCGTGCTGGAGACCGAGGTGTAGTGGCGGGCGCGGCGGCTGGCGGCGCGCTGCGTGCGGCGGCACCTCACGGTACTGGCGCCTAGCGCCTAGCGCCTAGCTCCCTGCGCCGGCCCGACCACACTAGTCGCGAGACAAACCTGAATCTATTCTTTTTGGCTGAAGGCCTTGTAGCCAATGTCACAATAAAAAAAACATTCGACAGCTAGTCGCGCGGGAAATTAACTGTCATTGTGACAATTTGGAGCGTTACGTTGTTCCGATAAGTTTGAAATAATAAAACATTTAAATTTTAATATTATTGCTTATTTGTTTGGTTTAGTTTTTATTTTATTTTAAAATACTCAATTTGCAAAGTCGCTTTCTTAAATTGTGTCTACTAATGCACAAGTAATATTCTGAATACGATAAATGCGAAATTCTA